GTGATCCCCCCACCATAAAATTATTTTCATTGCTACTTCATAACTGTAATTTTGCCACCGCCTTGAGTCATAATATAAATATTTTTGGAGGGAGCGTTTTGCCAAAGGGGTTGAGACTCACAGGTTGAGAACCACTGCTCTAGAGACTGAGAACTCCGTATGTACAAAAATGAAAGTTCTTCCACTTAAAATCTTAAAGTGGTGTGTGTACAAGGTCATTTATTATTTATTTGTTTGTTTGTTTGTTTCTTGCAAACATCCTGGTCACAGAGACGATAGAGTCTTACTTGTTACCTAAGGCAGACTTGCCGAGATAAAGTAGAACCAGTTGGGAAAGTCGGTGGTGTGAATGCCTTTGACTCTGAGAGCTGCTCTTAGTGACTCAGAAGCACTTGGATGTGGAGGCATTGGTCAGTCTCAACCCTGAAATTCAGGCATCTCTGTTCCCGTGCCGTGTTGTTGGGCCTGAAAACCCAGCCTCCTCTTAGGCTGATCAAGGCTGAAAGTAGGGAACCTGGTCCCCTGCCCGCTTGCTGATGGAATTAGAGCACATTAGAGAGAGCCCTTGAAAGAATTAATCAGCTAAGTTGCGTTTTACGACTTCCACGTGCTGGGCGCTGGGCCTGCCGCTGTTGGAGATGGGATGGGTGGACACAGTCCCTGGGCTCCAGGAATCGTAGGCGCTTCAGAGTTTCTTCTGAGAACAACAGCGCCACACTTTGTGCAGCTGGTGCCGAGTGACCAGTTAAAGGACAAACTACTATAGTGACCTGGCTTGGTCAGTGATTGGTAAGCATCAACCATGCAAATTTGGCGTAGGAAAATCAACGACGTGTTTGAGAGCATCCTGCCTGCATAATTTCACAGTGGGAGGGAAGGTAGGAATTGCTGGAACCAGATGGAAATAGACTTTGGGTAACACGCCAGGGTCGAGAGGGAGCCATGGCCATTTTTTTCTTTCAGAGTGGCGGGCTAAGATGAAGATAGGGCTTTACGACGTTTAAGCTGTAAAATCTGTCTTTATTTTCCTCCTACACTACATTGGGTTAAGCTGGACTTCCAGAAGAAGTCATGAGTCACTCCGGCTGTAAAATGGGTCCATTTGTCAGACAAAGGGGGTAGGTGACAACAGCTAGGAAAATGTAGAGCAGCAGGCATCCCAGCCAGAACCTGGCCCCGGCCTGAGAATGCACACGTGGACCGCCTGGGGATGAAAAATGCTTTCCTCTGACCATCCGTCATCATCATCCTCCATGGAGACAGTTCCCCCTTCTACGATACAGGGCTCTTAAGGGGAGAGGCGAGACTCTGGGGAGGACAGAATACCTGGCTCCCCGCCTCAGGGTGATTGATGGCTTGGGGCCCTAGGCCCCCACCATGACTACGTAGCAGGGCTAGGAGGCCTGGAGAGCAGTGAGCCTGCGCTTCTCCGCCAGCAGAGAAGAGGCAAAGACCGAGCCTCCAAGATATAAAGGAATCCGCGGGCTCCTTTCTCGGGAGCTCTGTGACCGTGGGGCTGGCTCCCCCCCCCACTTCCGAATGTTAACATTCCCCGTGCTCTCTCAATGCATTGGATGGCTACTCATTGGAGAATGGAAGGATGAGCTCACGTCGGTACCCCATCTCACTTCTGCTGTGATTAAACCGAAACTCAGAGGGACCAGACGTGTCCTTGGATGTCATATTGTCAAAATGCTTCATATGCTCAGGGGACACAGGGGACCAGAGAGGAACAAGGGCCTGCATACTATCCCCAGGAAATGAATGGGAATCGTGTATTGGTGTTATACCGTGTCTCCTGCGACACATGGACTTCTAAAGGACACTGTTATACTGGAGATCAAATAAGAACTCCTTCCGCTCAGAGCCTTATGTCACATCATCTTATTACTCAGGGTTTCCATGACTGTCCTATTAAAGCACATGGCCCTTCCCCTAGCTTCTCCAGTTCCCCGCCCCCTCACAGCCTAGCACTTTTGTCTCCCTTCCTGGTTCTATTGTGTTCAAGTTTTCTTCATTCCACATATCACCATCTGGTATACCAGTTGATATTTTTAGCTTCTATTCCCGTGCCAGGCACTAAGCACGTGATCCTCATGAACTCAGAGAGACTTGGCCCATTCTGATCACTGCTATATCTCTGTCACTTACGGCATGCTTGATATACAGCAAGCCTTCAATGCACGTTTGCTCAGTGAATAAAGAAATTCATTTTCCAGAGTGTAAGCCTTCCTCTGACAAATCTTGGTAAAGGTTGATTCATTTAACTCATGTATTGATCGTCCCATGACACTGATCCCTATATCCAAAAGCCTTTTAGCTTCAGGCTTGGGGGCAGGACCAGGCCCTGTGTCCAGCCAGAGCAAGCCCACATATTACAGGACACTAATTCTGTTTTAATGTCTCTTCCACTTAGTCTAGAGAGACTTGAAGACAGAAATCTATCTCTTGCTGAATTCCTAGCTCATGACTCAGGATCAGGCAAACTCTAGGCCAGAACTATGCAATGTAGTATTCCACAGTTGTGAAAATATTCCTGTTGTACTGACCAAATGATAACCACTGGCCACATATATAGGCATGTAACACATTAAACTCAACTAGTACAGGGCAGCAACTGAATTATTACTTTTATTTCATGGTAATTAATTTTAAAATTAAGTTTGCAGGTGGCTAATGGCTAGGGTTCTCAATTGTGTGGTTCTAGGTTTGCAGTCTGTTTAACAGTGGATAGCTATAATCTATTTAGCAAAAATATTTCCATAGTTAGGAAGACAAAAATTCAGTCGTGGTGAGAGTCCCTGAAAGACCTCAGAATTAGTAAAGAGTGGGAGTTGTGGATTACTGAAATAATATCTTTTAGCCACAAATCCTGTGATTCATGTCTTTTCCCCTAAAATAATCAAAGCACATGTCATTCCATAATGGCCATAAGGAGAGATTGTTAAAGACCTCATGGAATCTTCTAGATTATGATTCTCATGAAGATGGAGTGTTGTAAACATACTTACTGAATCATATTTATACCACTTACTGAATCATGCTTTCTACACACCACACACACACACACACACACACACACACACACACACACACACACGATACAGACATATAAAATTAGTTTTTTGGTAAACAGAATGTATTATGTATCCTTCCCCATACACCTTTGTGAGTTCCTTCTTTAGATTAAATGATACAGAAGGAGGGATGGATACTAACATTAGCGAGCTTTGAGGTATCTGACAACTGGTTTTGATAGTAGTTTCTCTTTGATGGAATTGTCATAGAAAGTAGGTTTATATAGAGTCCTTAAATGGTGGCCTCTGTGTACATTGGAATTCTTACATTATCTCTTCTGGATTACATAGAAGTTTTTCTTTTCTTGCCTGCTTGAATCGCATGAGGGGATAAATTGAGGGATAGACTGAAGCATAATTCTAAATAATCTTATCAATACAAACCAAGAGTCAGATATCAGGGTAATAACCAGAAAGATCAGAAAAATAGAGCGACAGCCACCAGTGACCTCTTACCTCTCCAGATCCTCCAACCAAAAGGGGCCAAGATCCTGTCTCCACCCCACCTTATCACTTCCTGTCTCCACCTCCTGAGTGTTGGGATTAAAGGCATGAGGCACCACCGCCCTATGGTTAACTAGTGGCTAGCTCCACCCTCTGAATCTCTAGGCAAGCTTTATTTGTCAAAACCCAAATAAAATATCACACAATAGATTATAATGGCTTTTAGAGAAGCCCTAACTACTTATACAGAAGGGCTAGACCCAGGACAAGGATTTCATGAAAATTAGAGGCCATTTCTGTTCTTCTCACTGGCCGGACATTCTTCCACCATCATACCAGACAATAAGTATGACGAAATAGTGACATCCTGGTAATCACTCTTTCAAATTCAGTACTGTGTGTTGTCCTCAGACCTGCCCTCATCCCCACCCCCTTTCCACTGCCTTGTCCCATGTCCACATTATCTCATGCTTAGATTCCTGTAGCTACCTGCCAACTGGTCTCCTTGTTTTTCCTTTTCCTTCTTTCAAATCCACATCCAGCTTCCACCAGGGAGATCTTTCTGAATTGTAGATCTTATCATGGGCTTTCTGTTTAAAACAACCTAAATGTGAAAAAAAGAAAATTTGAAAAGTCAAACACCATCTAATGATATTCAGCTCCCCTCCACCCGCCCCCCACCCCTGCCTTTTAAGCCCATCTAATTCTCTAGCCTCAGGTTCTTTGGATTTGGGGGACACAGTCATGTTGGCACAGTCTTGGGTTTTTAAGGTGGAAGAAATGGAAGGTAAAAGCTATGTCTTTGACAGCTGACTTTCCTGGGTTGTGAATCAAGAACACACATATGTTTCCTATCACTCCAAAGGAATTCAACATTTGTCCTTTCTCCAAGCGAGCATGGAAACTGCCTATTTGAAGCCCACCATTTCTTTCAGCTTCTAGAAATCAGATGTTTTATTCTAAGGATTTTTTAGGATTAAAAGAGATGCATGCACCATCACAGTTCATATCCAAGTCCTGAGTACAGGGTTGATCTAGTCCATGATTCACTCTTATTGATAATAAAATAGAATTTTATGCATTGCATATTTTTTTAAAGATCTTGGTCATCATCATTAAGACAACCAAGGAGAATTAAATCTGAGGAGAATGTGGCCAATGGGAATGGTATTTCTTTTAACAAGTGTTTTTTATTTATTTTTTTATTTTTATTTATTTATTTATTTTTTTGCAAATGACTACTCTACTTTAGATCTTAGTTTCCCAATTGGTAAAATGGAGATGCTGAACCAGAATGACCTCATAATCTATACCAGCATCCTAAGGACATCAATTTATTCAGCACTTTCTTTTATGTCACCAGTGTATGTCACTAATGGATTCAGTGTGATGAGCACACTGTTTTCAGAATGACAGACTAAGTCTTCTGTGACAGAGCTTGTGTTCTAAGAGTCAGGATGTCAGATGGCCATACCTACATAGAAACATTATAAATGAAAAGTCATGGGGAATACTGAGCTTGGTCATTCCATGAAATATAAGAGATCTAGAGAGTAGAGGGAGTTGCCAATGACTCTATAGGAGAGGAAGAGGTCAGGGCAGGATCATATCAGGTAGGATGTTTACACCAGGAGAAGAGGTGTATTCTAAATGTGGTTATGAGTCTCTGAGGGTTTTAAGACTAGGATGGGTGGAACCTCAGCTTTCAAGATATCACTCTTGGGATTATATGGAGTATGAGTTATAAGGAAGTAAGAGCTGAAGAGAAGCTACATAGGAGATTACCAAGGTAGTCCAGAAGTAAAAATGAGCAATTATAGGACAGCTTATAAAATATGAGTGAAGGAAAAGAGTCTGGCCGGGCGGTGGTGTCGCACGCCTTTAATCCCAGCACTCGGGAGGCAGAGGCAGGTGGATCTCTGTGAGTTCGAGGCCAGCCTGGTCTACCAAGTGAGTTC